AAAAATAATATTTAATTTATTAATTATTTAATTAAATCCATTTAAATAATAATAATAATACTAAAATTAATATCTATTTTTATATTTTTCTATATAAATTTATAATAAAAAAATCTACTTAATTAACTTGTACTTTAAAATTAAAAATTCAAAAAACTCTTTTACATAATAAGCAACACAATAAGCAACACAATAAAAAATAATTATCCATATGCTTCTCAGTTCTCACACTTTTTTCTCGTTCATCTTAAAATTCAAATTCAATAATTACAACATGAAAATTTAATCAAGTTTCTAACTAATGCAACATCCTATGCCTTGTTAATTTAAGGCACAAATCCAACGATTGGGGATGCCATGTGATTGACCGACGACATTATAAGAAAGTTGGGCTGTCGGCTCGTTTCAGTTGGTGTAAAAGCATTCACCCCTGCAAGTGTCGCCAATGGTAGCATGGATTATATCATGTCATTTGTGGTGAGTCCTCAGACTTACTAGGTAAGTGTTATATTACCAAATGAAACGCACAACTAGGTGGAACCTGCTCAGAGTTGTGCGATTCGTGGCGTCAAACCTTATAATTAAAGTATAGTAAGAAAATTAATTTCAATCTGTGGACTTATGCTGTCTCCTATCTAAACATATCTCAAAGATTTAAGCATACCTCAAGAATTCCTTTCCAAGATGCATCCGTGCATGACTAGCTAGATAGAGGCAATGGTCACTCTGTTGGTTAATAGTAAGAGGAACTTCACATGGGCAATCTCTACTGACTAACATCTCCATGAACAAGCAGTTTGCATCACTATATTCCGAAAACAGTAAGCAAAATCCATTGTTCAGAAAAGAGTGCTCAAGCTTTTAAAAATATATTCAAAATTAATGAGACTAAACAAACCTTTCACAGTTGCATCACAAGAAGTGACTTGAGTGTCTAAGAGCAACATACAACCAAGTGTATCGGTTGTTGCAGCCAACAACTCCATCCAAAGAGAAAAAGAAAATGTACCACTCAGGGATAAGGTGAGTTTTTACCCTTTCCAAGGTGATCCTTCAAACATGTCAAAGGTGAAGCTGAAATGACATCAATGACATTCAAGAGGCTTTAGAAATAAATAAATGGAAGGGTTCAGAAGAGTAGAAGGAGAATCACTAATCTGATATGCTAATGGCATATAAAATTCAAAATGCAACAGCAGCCATAACAATACAAAACAACGCAAAATAGGACCTTGGATGCAGGAATACAACAGATATACATAAGACTTGCCTAAACTACTTTCCCTATCTCTGTTACACTTTAACCATATCTTATAATACTGAGGACTCTCTATTAGTTAATACAAGCCCATAATTACAAAAGCAATGGTGAGTACACATAACAAAATCTGAAAGAAAAAACAAGAAACTATAACAGGAAATGTAGCGAGTTGAAAAAAGAGAGAAACACCACAAATAGAACTTACAGTAAATTGAAGTTTTTAAACAAAGTGATTATGATGTTACTGACGTACAAAGAGAAACAAGATCAGACCTACATAATCTTAACATCTCCTACCATCGTCTCAGTTTTCTTAATGAAACAATTTAGATTCTTTGATAAATGAATTACCTTTCAACTTCCAACAATCTGTAGTTATGCAATAATAAGCTTAACATCGTAGTCAAGAAGATAACAAAATAAAGACAAAGATAATAGGCACACCTACAAAAGTATCAATTCGTGCTGTGATTTATTATGCAATAAGCTGCAAATTATATTATTGCAAAACACAATGAAAAGCTCAGATCACAACAACATCTCCTATATTGACTGCACAGCAGTAAGTTTGACTTGACTATGAAAGCAGCTGAATTCAAATACCAGAATAACTTCACAAAGTTTCTATTATTTAATGGAAAAAGAACAAGCAGCATAACTAAAAATAAACCATAGAAACAATTCTTTTAAATGCTTAGACTATGTTCTTTAGACTTTGTTTATCTTAGCAGCTGATCTCAGACATAAGAAATGATTCATGAAGATTTCATGAAGATAATACTAAAATAATGACGAAATGTAAAGACAATTACATTTTAAGATGCCTCTCTTTGTTCAACAGACTCTAAGTTTAGGATGCCTGCAGGATATACCATTGTCATCTGTAAGCAAAAATATCTAGTTAAGTAGTTAAGCAAAAATCATCAATTTTTCAAACACTTCTAGGTTAACATCTCAAGAAAATAAAATAAAAAAAAAAAAATCATCTTTTCACTTTTACCTGTGTATTAAAATCTGGTGTCGGATCTTGAAGTCAGGTCTGCTCAGGTCAGCCAACAAAGAATAAACCAACAGATAAACTTTGGATGTACTGACTGTAAGAATAAATATAGTTTCTATGCTTAATCTATTTTGGAAATCATGTATCCAACAATTATTCAAAACCTCTTAAGACCATTTGAAGAACTTCTACAGAATCCATTTGCAAGTGGCAGGGTAATTATATAAGGAATCACCTGGAGTTTTGCTAATGGAGGAGCATTATGCCAGTGATTGCAGCATCAACACACAACCCATGCATTTTAACATCCATAACTGATATGGCAATCTCAGTAAGAATTTTCCAGATCCTCTGAACCTTTCCTCTTGGGTGTCCGGTCCCAAAACTGAGAATGTGATCCTTATAACCATCACTGAACTCTGAAGTATACTCTACAACACCAGAGCCAGAGGGATGGATTATTTGATTGATGCTACTTTCTTTATCTTAGCTTTTGTCCAGAAACAAGAAATGATCCATGAAGATCACACCATAATTATAACAATATGTAAAGATATTTGTCATGTTTCAACAACAACTCTTAGGCTCTAGAAGCAAAATAAAACGAGCACTTACACCAGCCATAACAACAAAAGCCTCGTCTGGAGATGTGTCTTGGGTCATATATCTGTTTAACAGACTCTTAATTTTAGGATGCCTGCAGGGATACACCTTATATCTGTAAGCAAAAGTATCCAATGATGAGTTTACCACTAGAACAACAACTTCAACTCCAATTTATCTAAGGAAAAAAAAAAAAGAAACTGACTGATGTCTACATGATATGATTGACCATCCGTACAGTACAAGCAAACAGAATTTAAATAAAAGTTCACCAATAAGAAATTTATGATCCACTATTACCTTCCTTCAATATATCCAACTCAGAACTTACATATGCTAAAGCTACAGCTAATTTCTTGATTTTTTTTAACAAAATCCCAACAGAAATTTACTCCTAATTTCCTGTTTATTGTTTAATTAATGCCCTCGTCTTCAAAACAATCTCTTGATTTCCATATCTACAGGAAGAACAATAAAATCCGACCAAACCGTTCTTGCACATTTAAAATCATTAATTTATTCCACACAGAAAATTACCACAGCTTCCTCCGTTAATACAAGAGGTTACCATCTCAAGAAAACAGAATGTAAAACACAAAAAGAAATTTACCTATCTAGAGTTGGCGATGGCTAGAGAATGGGCCTCCAGAGAGCCGAGACGTCTATCGGCTGGCACTCCTAATCGCTCGGCTGCGTTCGCTTCGAGACTGATTCGAAATTTCAATTGATCGGAAAATATGGCGAAAGGAGACGATTGGGGTTCACACCACATTTTAAGAAATTTTCACTTTTATTCAGTGAAACGCACCGTTCAAAGGCAAACAAGCCAAAAGAAGAGGATAAAATATGATATGAAGAGATTGATCGGCAAAAATCACAGAAGGATCAAATTACAGTAACAAAATACACGAGAACTGCGTGCAGAGCAGATAGATCAAATCCAAAAGAAATCAACACAAATTCATACATAACCATAATTCCCACACAAGTCAATACAACTATATATCAACAATGAACATGAAAATGATGGAAACAAACTCGAGAAGCAAACTGTTGCCTGATCTACCCGGAGTAGGAAATCAACGGTACCTGCTTGCACCTATATAAAATAAAGCAAAAGTAGAAAAATTAAGCGTCACTATTATATAACATGCCTTGATTTTTATGGTTAGAACTTATATAGAACACAAATATTATAGTGAGAGTTGTAGAAACTTACTCACTTAAGAGTGTTGGTTGTGTTTTTGGATTTTTCTGTGCTTATGACTTCGGTTGCACCTTCCAACTAATTTCTGTTGATATTTCTCCACTTTCTTCACTAGCCACCATGGTTTTCCTGTAGTGAAGGCAATGTATCCCAGACTAAGTCCCAACACCAGTCCACACCCATAGCCTGCCAATGCAAACTTCCACTCAAAGACTGCTGTAGAGTCATCTTCTTCATCAAATTGTGGTGAAGGTGGTCTTGGTTCTTTGCATTTTTTTGTCAATGGGAATCCACACAACCCAGAGTTCCCAATGTAGGAATCATTTGAGAAAGTATTGAACTGCTTCCCTTCAGGTATGTGGCCCACTAGTTCATTATGTGAAAGATTCAAAACTGATAGGAATGTCAGCTTTGTCAATTGCTCTGGAATCCTGCCTTCAAGCTTGTTTGATGAGAGATCTAATGACTCGAGTTCTGCTAATTTCCCCAATGATGATGGGATTTGACCATTCAGACTATTGTGAGATAAGTTTAGCAATAAAAGTGAATTGAGTTCTCCTAGCTCGTCAGGAATCTGTCCATGAAATTGATTGCTCGAGAAATCTATAGTTGTGAAAATTTCCAAAATCCTTACAAGCTCCACCTCAAACCCTTTCATTACTACCTTCACAGAATCCTCATAATAAGAATTACGATCACCAATGTATACCAATATGCCTTTATCAGCTAGAGCTATATCTCTCATACCTTTCAAAATTTTGAAAAAGTTACTCGGTAGGAGACCCACAAAATCATTTTGTGCGACATCAATGATTATCAACTTAGGGAAGTAAAATGCAGGCATAGAATTGTTGATGGCACCATGAAATCGATTGGATCGAACGATGAGAACTTTTAGCGATGGAAGAACACCTAACCAATGTGGAAAAGTATCATTCAAGTTGTTGTTCCCCACATCTAGAATTTCCAAATTACTGCAATTAACTAAAGACCGTGGCAGTATCCCTTCTAACTGGTTGCCATTTAGGCTGAGAGTTAACAAGAAATTGTTGTTGACAAATGAATTTGGAATCCTACCATGGAACTTATTCATCCGCAGATCCAAGATGTTGAGATAACTCAAGTTTCCAAGACATTCTGGAATTTTTCCTCCCAACCTATTATTAGCTAAGGCTAGAACTTCAAGAGAAGTAAAATTACAATAAGAAGAAGGGATTTCACCGATAAAATTATTCCCTGAAATGAGAAGTTGTAGCATAGAATCCCAACCTGTTGATAGAATGGGAAGTGACCCTTGTAGTAAGTTCGATCTGAGGTCAACAAGTGCAAGATTTCCAAAAGCAAATAAATCTATACCAGTCAAGAAGTTATAAGAAAGGTTTAATGCACCCAATGACATTCCTTCTATTTCCCATTTGTGAATTTGACCAGAAATCTTGTTCTTGGAAATATCCAATTCTTGCAATTTCTCTGCCTTCCTTAAGAAACTGGGGAACTTGTGTATGTTGCAAGAAGAGAATTTTAAAACCATGAGGTTCGGAAAGGAATAGTTGATAGCAGTGCCATTATTGTTGAAGGACAGCAAACTATTATTGGAAAGATCAAGATCCCCAAGGACTACAAGCTTTGAAAGCATGTCGGGTGTAATGGTGCCGGTTAAGTTATTTGAAGAAAGGTCGACACTAGCAAGATTTACAAGATCAAAGAAGGAGATAGGAATTGAACTGCTTATCTCATTATTGGACAAATGGACTTCTCGTAAAATGAGATTGGGCATCTCAACATGATCAATAGGCCCGGTAAGTTTGTTGTTTTGGAGCCCTAAATGGTATAAAGAAGGCAGAGAAAACAACCAAGATGGTACTCGACCTGTGATGAAATTATTATCCATTTGAAACTGATATAAAAATGAGAGTCCACTTATATTGTGAGGAAGAGGCCCTATTAGCTTATTTGATGACAGTGTCAAATCAGTAAGATTGGTTAAGTTGAAGATTGATGCAGGAATTTCACCACCAAAATTGTTTGCATCTAAGCTCAAATAAGTTAGCTTGTGCATTTTTCCAAAAATATCTGGTATTTGCCCTCGCAAATGGTTGGAAGAAAACTCTAGTTGAGTTATCTCTGTAAGATTTGCAAGAGATCTAGGAATTGATCCATAAAATTGGCACTGATAGAGGTTCAATTCCTTTAGGAATTTAAGATTTCCAATTGAATGAGGCAACACTCCTGAGAAGGTTGTGTATGAAAGACACAAATACCCAAGGGTACTACTCTGGTTTGACTCGGGCAAATTACCCCCTAATTGAGAGTTTTCGCTTAAATCAAGAAGCCGAAGAGATGGAAGCTGAAAAACTTGGTTTGGAAAGTTTCCTTGCAAAGAACAAGAGCTAAGGCTCAAATGCTCCAAGGAAGAAGTCAAGTTTAGCAAGGAAGAAGGCACAACCAGAGACATATTCACAAAATCAAGGATAAGAAACCTTAATTCTGTTAAATTATGCATAAGCATTTGAAACTTTATGTTGTCAGGAAGCAAACCATCATTACCAGAGAGATCGAGTGAAACCAATTTCGGTAGCAAGAAGATCTCATCAAACAACAGAGAGCCATACATGTACCCTGAACCTGCAAGGTTAAAGATTTGTCACATTAGAAGAAGTGAAACCAGTTTTGGAAGCATGGAGATTTTAAACAAAAGAAAAAGAAATGAAATCCCGTACTTGAAAGATTAAGATATGTCAAACTCTTCCAACGGTCGAACCCAAATGAGATGTTAGGATAATGAAAATAATTGACAAAAAGGTTGAGACTCTGCAATTTCTCAAGGCGGAAGAGACTACTATTTGCAGTTAGATTGGCTTTAAGACAATTCCCGCTAAGATCAAGGCCAATCACGTGACCTTTCACCTTGTCGCATGTGATGCCCTCCCACAAGCAGCAGTCTTTACTCTCGTTCCAAGTTTGTATTATAGGACGAGGAGTAGCATAATCATCAAAACAGAATCTCTCCAAATGAGTAGTGCTTTTGAAATCAAGCAATGCAGAACGCTCTTCAGGACGGCACAAATGTGGTGATGAATGGGGAGAAGATTGAGAAGGTGAGGCGCTTTGGACTCGAAACCGTAACAACATGAAGGAAAGGCAGAGGATTTGGGAAAACCTTATTAAGCTTGCCATTTTCTTAAAGATGAACACAATTCAGCAAACAAAGGAGTGATGGATTATTCAAAATTGAAGTGCTGGACACCAGTATTTATCGTCTTCCCAAAAGTGAAAGTCCTTCAACTTTTTCTTTTTTTTTGAGTTACATGTAAATTTCTTTAGCAGGTCAAATTGTTTTTTTTTTAATCTTTTTATAAAAAAATAATGTTCACACAATTAATCTTTTTTATATATTTTAATAAAACTGCACTAGTGGTACATATATTTAATATTTTAATAATAATTAAAATTTAAACTAAAATACT